AGGGCGATCGCTGAACTGGATGAATGGAGGACGGCAATATCACCGGGAGGTCCGTCCCCCATGAGCCTGGGTGGAAATCCGACGTGGCTTCAGGACTACCTCCTTAACGCTCATCCAGCACGTTCAACTAGCCAGGGCAACAAGTGCCACAGTGTAACGTGCCACGAGCGGCAGCAGGGCGCATGGACGCAGACGACGAGCGCCTGACCACGCCTGACACCATGCAGCACTATAGCAGGCGTGAGTGGCCTTGATTGATTGATCCTGCATGCTGCTACTGCCCGGGACGGCCCACGCCCCTCATCCGCTCGCGCCCCCTTCCCCCACACCCCTGCAGCCTGGTACAGCACCAAAACGGCGAGGGCCACGCTCGTGGTGGGCCTGGTCGTGCTCCTTGTGGTCATCCTGGCGGGTGAGGGGCGGCAGGGCCGCTGGCGGCGAGCGGGGTTCGATTTTGCTGGCACCGCCGCCGCCGCCGCTCCCACTGGGGGTTGAGTGTGAGGCTTGCTCCCTGCGCATCCCTCCCACTTGCTGCCCACAGGACCCCGCCCCAAGGTCAAAAGCGAACTCATGGACGACGAATTGCCAGCGGGGGAGGGCAAGGCAGCAGCGCGCGGCGCGGCAGTGGCCGCCGACAGCGCCTCTGGCGGCGGCGGCGGCGGCGGCACGGCGGCAGCCAGCGCGAGCGGCGGCACGGCGGAGGTTGGCTTCTATGGCGAGAGCCTGTGAGTGGGAGCCAGCCCGCTCTCTGCTGCACTCCCCCGCCCCGCCCCTCTGCTCCATTTTCCTGCCAGTAGCCGGCGCGCCGCAGGAGCCTGCAAACAACCGGCTGCTGAGCCCAGCAGGTTGCCATCCTCGCCACCCTCATTCTTGCCACCCTCTCCCATCACCCGCCCCCTATGCAGGTGCCCCGACTGCCAGCACATGGTTAGGGACGTGCTGCAGCCGCTGTTTGACAACGGCGTCGCAAAACTGATGGGCCTCACGTGAGAGAGGTGGAGGGCGGGGCAGGGATCGAGGGGCTGGCTGAGGGGGGGGGGGTAGGAGGGGAGGGGCAAGGGACAACGACCTGCTCCTGCGGTTGCCTGCGCACCCCGGCTGATGGTTTGCTGGCCCGCCGCCATCGCAGTTACTATGCGTTCGGCAATGTGAAGAACACCAGCGACGGAGGCTTTGCCTACCAGCACGGCCCAGGTGAGCCGCTGCAGGGGCGCCTGCGGCTGCACTCTGCGCTGTGCCCGGCCGCCTGTCCCCGGACAGGGCCTCTTCGCCTGCTTGCCGTTTCCGGTTGTTTTATCAGCGCGGCTGGTCTGCTTACGTTGCACATGCTGCTGAAACGCGCGCCCTCCCCACGCCTGTACCGCAGCGGAGGGCAAGTACAACCGCCACATCCTGTGCGCCCAGCACTTCCACCCCAAGCAGGACGACTGGTGCGAGGTGGCGGGGCGGCGGCCTGGATGTGCCAGCCGCACCTCCCTGCTTCTCCCCTGGCTGGCCACACCAACCTGCCTGCTGCTCCCACCTCCCACCTTCCCTGACAGCCACACCCGGTTGGCTGCCTGTGCCGCCCAATACACGGCCTGCCTTCCTACCTGTCCTGCCTGCCTGCCTGCCAACCTGTACCGCCCACCTACCCACCCTTGTACCGCCCGCCCGCCTGCCTGCCTGCCCGTACCGCCTCGCAGGTTCCCGTACGTCAAGTGCCTGGCTGACAAGATGCACAGCCTGGACAGATACGCAGACAAGTGCGCCTCAGACCTGGGCTGGGAGGCCGCCGACGTCAGCGCCTGCTCCGAGGGTGGGTGGCGGGCCGGGGCGGGGCATGGCGACCGGTTGCGCGGCAAGGATGCCTGGGGTGGGGCGTGCTGGGTTTGCGTGTTTGGGTGCGCCTGCGCCCGCTTATACATGCAGCACCGGCGGCACGGAACCTGGTGCCGGCTGTGTGAGGCGGCTGGGGAGGCAGCTCTTGACGCGGCAGGAGGAGGCTGGGCTGCTGCCCCGGCAACCATATGGGGTGGACTGCGGCTGGTGCCCAGCGGTTGTTGCTTTTGCTGCCTGGCCCTGCAGGGGACAAGGGGAAGGAGTTGGAGCAGGAGGCGGCGGCGGCGACCTGGGCCCTGCGACCGCAGAAGAACTTTGTGCCGTGGGTGCGCAGGGGGAGCTCCTGCGATCGCTGCTGCTGCTACTGCTGTCAGCCTCGTCCTCCTGCTTCCCCAGCACCCTTGCTTCCATACCGCCCGCACTCCTTTCTTCCTGGGCTGTTTGTCTTCACAACAACTTTCTCCCTCCTCGCCGCGACCCGCAGATCGTGGTGAACGGTGTGGCGATCGGGGCCGACTTTGAGAACCTGGAGCGGTACGTGTGCGCCGTGGCGCCCGCAGCGTCCCGCCCCACGGCCTGCTACGAGCTTCCGCCTGGGCTGGCGTACCAGGGCCGCCGCCGCAGCTGACTCGCGGCGGCTGCCGGAGGGCTGGCGGTGGTGGCGGCGGCGGCGCTGGTGTACGATGTGTGGGAGGAGTGGCGCCGCCGCGCCGCAGCCGCCGCTGCCAAGGACTGATGCTCGCAGCGAGTGCGGCGTCAAGCATCCCGCCGGCAGCCGGGGCCGCGTGTTTCATGTCTGTGTGGAAGTCGTTGTTGCCCACCAGCTTTGCTGTAGTGCTTGCTTGCAACCGCATGACAGCCTGTTCCTGGGGTAACCAAGGGAGGGCTCGCAGCGGTGAGGAGAGGAGGGGGCACCGAGCCCGCTGCCCAGTGAATTCCACACATTGCCCTACACGAGTAGGCAGGCATTCAAAAGCAGAGAAGGAGCAGGCTCGCAAAAACACATTTCAAGCACAATTCACAATTATCGATTGAGTTCAAGTTACGATTTGCAGCCTCTCACGGCTGTGTGCTGCCAAGCTTCTCCGCCTGCAGCAGCAGTGACGCGGATCGCGTGCTCCGCCCTTGCCACCTTCTCCTCACGGACAGCTGCCACTGCAGCTTCCTTGCCCTCGCCGGCGTCAATGTACTGCCGTAATTCCGGCAGCCAGTACCCGTGCAGGTAGGAGGCCGGCAGCTGCTCCGCAGCCAGCAGCTGCGCCGCCCAGGCGCATCGCTGCTCCCGCTCCTGCTCAGCCCGCCGCAGGGCCAGGCACTCCTCCACCACCTGCTGCGCGGAGCCCTCGCCGCGCTGAACGTATACATCCACATCCACCTGCTCTGCATACTCGCCCAGGCCGTCGGCTTCCAGCAGCGCAATCAGCTCCGAGCGCCGCTGCTCCAGCGCATCCTTCTCCTGCTTCTCCCGCTTGATGGCAGCCACCACAGCCTCCAGGCTGTCCTGGCTGCGCCCATAGGTGTAAGCCAAGGCACGGCTGCAGAAGAGCTCCAGAAGCATGCCCTCCTGCTCCAGCCTGCAGGAGCACAGGGTCAAGAGCAAAAGGATCGTGTAAAGCAGGCGCAGCTGTGCCTTGTGACTTGAAAGCTCCCCAGGCCGCCAGTTCAGCAGGCAGAGGCTGGCTGGCAGCGGCAACTCGCCGCTGCCGCAGCAGGCGCTGCCGCTCCGTCTCCTCCTGCTGGGCTTGCGCATCCGCGATTATGGCCGCCACGATGGAGGTCGGGCTGCCGACGCCGCGCTGCAGGCGAGTAAGGGAGCGGCAGGAGCCATGTGCGTCGGGGCCACTGCCAGTGCAGCACCCGCGGGGGCGCTGGTGGCAGCAGCGCCACCCGCCGCACCTTGATGTAGGCCTGCACTTCGCCAGGGACCTTCTCGTGGAGCCGAAGCCACGAGGGGTGCATGCCAGCCTCCACCATCGTGCGCCTCATCTCCTCCCTGCAATCAGATCACGCACGCGTGCAGTGGCTCGTAGCAGCTGGCAGCGGCGCCTGGAGGAGGAGACAGGAGGCGCCTCCCTCTGCCCCTTGGGGAAGTCGCTCACCTGCGCTGCGGCTCCCTGTCAGTGATGGTGGCCTTGGCCTTGGCGGCGGTGGCCTGTCCCTTGTGGCGCGCCTCCTCCATGCGCCCCGGGTGCCCCCACTTGCGGTGCGCGGCGGCGCGGCAGTCCAGAACATTGTACCTGCACCCGGGCGGGCAGACGGGCAGCCGGGCAAGCAGGGCAGGGGATCACATTGTGGGGCGGGACGGCAGCAGGCTGGCGTGGTGGAGCACAGCGCCCAGGTTGGTGGCACCCGGCAGCCGCTCAGGCAGCGGGCTGGGCAGCGCTCGGCAGCTCACATGTGGCCCGGCTGCGCGTTGCCGAAGAGGGGGTTGCTGCGCTTGAAGTATGGAAGCACCTGCAGGTGGAAGAATGCTGAGCTGCGGCCAGTGAGGAGCGAGGCCTAGCACGAGGGCAGGCAGGCGGTGGTCGCAACGCTGCCAGGGAGAGCCGAAGGCACGGGTGTCCGTGTGCACCCAGCACGCTGCAGCTGCGGAAGTGGCAGCCGGGAGCAGCGTGGGCGGCGTGCCTTGAACCCTCCAGGCGCCAGTGGCCCACCTTGAGGTCATTGTTGCTGAGCCGGTACTGGCTCTTGGCGGTGCTCTTGGTGCAGGTCTGCCAGCGTGCGGGGTCGTTCGCAACCGCCTGCTTCACCACCTCGAGCGCTGCAGGGCAAGGGAGGGCGCAAGGGAAGCTGGCCGCAATGGCAGGACGGCACTGGCTGATGGCAAGCGGCGCAGTGAGATGGCTCAGCAGGCAAAGAGCTGCGGGCAGCGGCATGCCTCGGCGTGCGCACCCTCGCGGGCGGGCGTGTCGGCGTTGATGGCGGCGCCGGGCGCGGCGTGCTTGGCGGCCAGCACGCGCCACCAGTCGGCGGCCGCCTCGCCGCCGGCGCCCAGCGCGATGGCCAGGTTGGCGGCGTCACGGGCGATCAGGGTGACGGTGCGCAGCGCGTCTGCCGCCATTAGGCTTTCTGCGAGGTGGTGGGCGTCTCGGCAAGGCGCCATCAGTAGGCAGTGGCCGAGTGCAGAAGGCACCATCAGGGCTGCGCTGCCGGGTGACAAGGTGTGGTGTGGTGGCGAAGGCAGGCTGCTTTTGGCATCCACTCACCGATCAAGTTTGGGCAGGAGTGCAGGAGGGTGAGGAAGCGGGAGGCCGCCACCACCGCCGCTGCTGGCTGGGGCGGCTGCTGCTGGCGGCGCTGCTTGCCAGGCCGCTCCTGCACCTGGTAAGGGCTCTCTGCCTGCATCTCCTGCACGAGCACAGACCCCCAGAGGACAACAACAAGCCCAGCCGTTCAAACTCGCGGGGTCCAGGGGCGGCATTGGCCTTGCAGCCCTCCTGCCCTGCCCTGCCCTGCCTCCTGAACGGCAGGGAGAGCTCAGGACTGCCAGCCCCACCTGTGGCAGCGCGCCCAGCCCTGCCTGCAGGAGCGCCCACTGCAGCTGGAGCAGCGAGGAGCAAGCCATACTGACAGATGGAAGGCACAAGCACGAGAAAGGTGCAAATCAGGGAAGTTGCAGGAGCTTAATGGCCTAGCGGCCACGCTTTCTACCTCTGCGCCGCCTTGCATCTCAGCGCCGCAGCATTACATTTATTCACTTCCAAGGTGCTGCCTGGCTGGCCTCTGGCACACGTTACGCACTGGAGGGCAGGCAGGCAGCCACAAGTCTTGACATGGTCGGTTCAGTTCAAGTGAGAGCAGCGAAGCCGAGATGGCGCCTACTGCTGGCTGCGCCTCCCGCTCACGCCGGCCTGCCGCCTCCCTCACACCTCTCCCTCACCTCCCGGTCACCACATTGCTGCTGATGCATGCATGCCATCCCATGAAACTGACGTCCTGTGCTGCGCAGCAAACCAGCGCTTCGCAGCACACCGACGCACTTGCCATGCCGTCACGCTGCTTGCTGTTGCACCTGCGGCTGCTGCCGCCGGTCATGTGCCCTGCCAGTCATGCCTGCCAGTACCATCAGATCCGCCGTACTCGCGGCTGCTGTTGGCGGTCCTGTATCCTGCCAGCCATGACCGCCCGTACCGTCAGAACCCGCCGTACTTGTCTTCTGCATCCTCCACCAGGCGCTCCAGGTAGGCGCGCTCACTGGGGAGCACCTGCACCTGCACCGTCTTGGTGATGTCGCCGTCCCACTCGCACTGCGCAAAGCAGCAGGAATGGGGATGGATCGCTTGCATACGCCTGGAAGCAGGGCAGGGTGTAAGGGAGGGGCCAAGCTGGCATCGAGTCCCCGCAGCTGGCGGCGGCAGGAGCGTGCTGGCAGCAGGGCAGCAGCCTAAGTCGTCACGCCAGGAACACCCTGTGGGGGCGCCTGACGCAGCGGGAGGAACGGCTCGCCTGCAGGCCTTGGCGGCGCAGGCACTCGACGGCGGCCTTGGCCGGTGTGTCAGGCGCCACGCCAGAGCCCTCCACCACGTCATGCCCCAGGTACAACACCCCCGTTTCTGTCCAGGAGGGTAGCCGGCAGATGAAGCCACATCATATGCCACCGCGCCGCCAGTCTGCTGCCGCCAGTCTGCTCACCGCCGCGCTGCAACCGAGCTCACCCAAAGCTATCTCCAGCCCTTGGATGTCAAAGAACACAAAGCTCTGAGAGCCTGTCACCTCATCCAGCCGCTCTTAGCACTCGAAATTGCCGTCGCTGGGGCTGACGCCCGCGGGCGCGCCCACAAACACCTTGTGCTGCTGGCGCAGCTCGTCAAAGGCCCTCTCAAGCTTGGAGGCCATGGCGTCGCTCTTGGATTGAGCGAGAGGGGATCTAGGGTGGGCAGAGCGGCAGGCAGTACTGCTCTCAAGGACAAATGTGACGGGAAGCCTTGTTTCGCGGTCCTCAGCTACCACGCCTTCTCCGTCGGACTGCACACCTGCCAGGCAGTGCCACTGGCCAGTATGATGAAGACGCCCCTGCTCCTCCTGGCTGCCTGCCTGGTGGCTCTGCCCCTCCGCCGCGCTGCCGAGGCCGGCGCGGTGCTCACCGGCGATGACCAGGCAAGGCCCGGGGTGCAAGCGAGGGGTGCGGGCACCTTCCACCCGGCGGGTTGGGCGCGGCGGCGGGTTGGGCGGGCCGAGGGAGGTGAGCGGGCACCTTCCACCCCCGCCTGCCGCTCCTTCTCATCCAAGCCGCAGGTGCCTCCTCTCAACACCGCCACCAGCGGCAGCTGGAATGCCACCCTCGTGGGTGACCGCATGGAGTGGACTCTGGAGGTGGGAGGGCAGCCCGCTGGAAGGCGGGGCCCCTCGCTGAGCTGCTCCGGGCTGTGAGGCTCCTCCACCTTCTCCGTCAGTCAGCCGGGCAGGAAACCTCGCAAACATGGCCAGTACACTCATCCCCGGCATGCTCCCTTCCTGCCGTGCGATGGGATGGCGGCGCAGGTGTATGATGCCAACCGCGCCACGATGGCGCACATCCATCAGGTCTGGCGCTGGGGCTGGCCATGGCGGGGCGCTTGCTTGCCTGCTTGCTTGCTTGCTTGCTTGCTTGCTTGCTTGCTTGCTTGCTTGCTTGCTTGCTTGCTTGCTTGCTTGCTTGCTTGCTTGCTTGCCTGCTTGCTTGCTTGCTTGATTGTGTGGGCTTACAGTCTGGTTTTAGCAAGGACAAGCTAGCTTGCAGCACAGGCTTTGTGGCCGCATGATGATGATGTGGAGGCTTGGGCGCACAAGCTCCCGATCTGGCTGACTGCCACTACTTGGTCTCAGCTGGCAGCCCCCTTTTGGAGGCATGTGCGTGCAAGCCCTGGCCGAGGGTACCGGCACTGCACCGCACGCTTGCAGGGCGGCCCCAACGACAACGGTCCCGTCATCGTGTTCCTGGTGCCGGTGGGCGTGGGCAGCGCCGCCACCACGCAGACGCTGCCCCAGCTGGAGCCGCCCCAGTCGGGAGACGGTGAGTGCGGCAAGGCACAGCTGCAGTACCGCTGCATTACAGACCTGCACAGCGCAGGCCATGCCCAAGCGGATTTCGGCTGAGCCCGATGCACGGCAGCAGCAGCAGCAGCAGCAGCAGCATGCCTTGATTGCTGCCGGCAGGGTGGCTCCTGTAGCGCTCCCTTCAAGGGAGCCTCGCTGTCCCTTGCCGCCCCGCAGTGACGTTCCGCGGCAGCTTCACAGCCGCCGACATCGGGGGCCCGGCTGCCGGCATGAGTCTGAGCGAGCTCATCAACCTGTTCAGGGTGAGGCCGCCCTGCGAGCAGCTCAGCAGCCAAGCGCAGGCTGGCACCTAACAGGCAGCAGCAGCGTGCCCACTCCTGGCGCCAGCGCTATGCCCCTGCCCGCCCCTAGCGGACCCCTGTTTGATACTGCCTGGTCCAACTGCATGCAGGCCAACCAGGCGTATGTGAACGTGCATGACGAGCAGAACCCGGCTGGCGTGGTGCGTGGGCAGGTGGAGTGGGTGTGATGCCGGCATTGAGAGGTTTGAGCGGCCAAGCGGGAGATGGCGCCCAGAAGAGGCCGTAGCCAACCCAAACTGCTCCCTTGCACAGCAATTTGGTGGTCGCTATTTGAATGCAAGCTTGCCTTCTGGAATCCCCTTAGATTTGGTTGCACATTACACGACTGTCCCAGGTTGTAAAGACAGGAGGCAAGGTGCCGGTGAAAGCAGAAGCGGGCAGACATGTGGAGCAAGCAGACATCAGGGTGGAGTTGTTAGTGGGCAGAGGACAAGGCAGAGGCCACTTGGCACAGCGGCGGCATTCCCCCGCGCTGCAGCCGCGTGCAGCAAGGACCGCAGGCAGCGCGCAGCTTGGGGGGAAGCGGTGGCTTAGCAGCGGCCACGGTGCTGGCGCTGGGCACGGCGCTGCTGCTGCTGCTGCTGCTGCTGCTGCTGCTGGTGGCGGGGCTGTGCCGGGGAGCGGCGGCTGCTGCACTTGGCCTGCGGCGCCGGGGGTGTGCGTCCGCGCCGGCTGCTGGGCTTCTGCTGGCGGTGCGGCTTGGCGGGCTGCGGCTCGGGCTGCTGCGCGGGCTCCTCTTCGCTGTGCAGGGCCAGCAGGAAGGTTGCTGTGATGAGCGCCGCCAGCGGGCTCTGGCCGGGCTGGGAGCGCCGCCGCTGCTTGGGGGCAGCCGGGGCAGTGGCGCTGGGTGCTGCGGGGGGTGTGGCAGTGGCGGTGCCGCGAGGGGCGACGTCCTCGGCATCGTCTTGGCAGCCACAGGCAGGAGCCCGGCGAGGTGCAATGGCGGCGGGGGTGCTGGGCGCCAGTGGCACAGGCGAGGCAGCAGCGGCGAGCGCGGCGCCGGCGAGCACGGCGGGGATCTCGCCGCTGTTGCTGCGCAGGTAGGCTGCTGAGGCCAGCTTACAGTCCTGCACCGGCCAGGGCGTCCGTGGCAGAGGATGGTGAGCTGTCGGCGGTGGCATGCAGGTGGGAGCGGGTGGCGGGCCGCCGGCGCGGCTCATCCTCACCTTGGCCAGCAGCACGTCTGCCGCATTCCACGTTGTCGCTTGCAGCCTGGTGTTGCCTGCAGCACTTGGAGTAGAGCGTTGCAGGAGTGAGATGCCAACCGCGTTGCCCCAATGGATCGCGAGATGCGGAGCGCCGGGCACCAGGAGGCTATACGCAATCTGCCGGGTGTCGGCCCTGCACTTGCCTGCTGAGGCGGAGGGCTTTGGCGCCGAGGGGCTCTGAGAGGCGAATGCCATCGTTGTGGAGTGGTGCTGGGGAGTTGGGGAGGGACTCAGAGGGCAATGGAAGCCGGGAAGGAAGTATTCAATAGTAGAATGCCTGCAGCGGGGGGCTCGCGTCCATTCCAGGGAGCCGTCGTCGCCCGCTTTGGTTGAGCTCAGCAGGGCGGGCCCTGGCTGCCTCAGGGGCACCAGGGACGTACGCTGCACGTTGTTCAGATGCACATTGTTCAGATGCACGTTGTTCAGATGCGTCTGCTAGCACTTCTTTACCGCGACCGCCATGCCACATCAACGGGCGGCTTTCGCCCGGCCCGGTGTCGCCGCCAGCGATGGCTCTGGCGGTGTTAACGCCTGCCATTTTTACCGTGCCAGATGAACGCCATCTTGCACAATTGCCACTCTAAAGTTGCCTGCTGTTCCCCAATAACATCATTTTGCAGGGACAGCAGGCCGTCGGCTGAATGGCGGCGCCAGGTGGCGGCGGCATCACCTTCTTCAATTAAAATTGATCTTGATCTTCAAAAGATCAACCCAGCACTGCACGCGTTTCAAAGCTACCCCACTCTCGTTATAGCCCCAAGCTGAGCCCGCAGTGCGCCCCCGCTGGTCAGCCTTTCGGTCGCCTCTCGTCGCAGCGCTGAGCGCCTGGCTGCCATTCCGGACATGGCAGGCGGGGGCTGGGAATCCGGCGGGGGCTGGGGGGAGCCTGCTCCTGCCGCCCAGCAGCAGCAGCAGCGAGCGGCCGCGGCGGCAGAAGAGCAGGTGGCGGTGCTGTTCAAGCAGCTGGCCACGCAGCAGGACCTGCTGGAAGGGATTGTGTGCCGGGCATCCAAGGCGGAGTCGGAGGCAGATGACCTGCGGCAGCAGCTGGCGGCGGCCAGGCAGCAGGCCAAGCGCGCCGCCGGCCAGGCGTCGGCCCTAGAGCAGCGCCTGCGCGCCGCGCAGACGGCGCTGGCACACCAGCCCGTGCAGGCAGGCACGCTGCTGTCGGAGCAGCAGGAAACGGCAGCCGGCATTGCGGCACGCGTGGGCAGCCTGCGGGACAGCTTGGCACCCACGTGCGGCGAGGAGGCTGCCACCATAGTGGCAGCTCTGGATGCCGAGGTGCAGCAGCTGCAGGGGCAGCAGGCCAAGCTGCGCCAGCTGCTGAAATACTGCGGGAGGCAGAGCCAGCCAGGTGCAGGCCGCCGCCCGCCCCGG